AAATGTCCAAACATTTGGGATAATGTTTAAGTAAAAGTGAGAGGGGTCTCAAATTCATGGAGAGTTCTAGATTGAAGTTCACAGTGAGTATTATGAAATAAGGCATTGAAATAGAAGAATTTAAATCATACCAATTTGTACTTTTGACTATTAAAAGTGAATTTCCTTTTAATGGGTTAACGCCCTCCAGAAGTAGGTGGCTTTGCATCAAACTGGATTACCAATATTTGTGTTATTTTATTTACTAAATTTATTCAGATAGTTACACATTACACTAGTTATACACTTTTTTTACAACATTATGTATGGAATCTTGTTATCCGTAGAACATAATTTCATATCTTAATAGAGTTGTCCTGATTGTTTTCTGCTGTCAGAATGCCATGGATATTCTGGACAGAGGGAGTGATGTTCTTAATCTTAGTCAGGTTAGTATGAGCATCTTTGCTTTTTTGAAAGATATTATCGAACTTTAATTTCCCCACATAACTAGGTTCTTAAGGGTGAGTTTAAGTTTAGTCACTTGTTCTATATATGCCATGTTCCAAGACTGATGGATAATGTTTTTTACTTTCTTCATATGTGGTCAAAAGTTTTTTAAACCTTGTGTTTTTGCTCCTTTTGTTTTCAATAGACATTCATTACTCATTAGGATAAAAACAAAGTAAAACTGAATTGTGATATGGAAAATATTTAAGGAGGCGAGTGTTAGAATAATTATTGTAATTATCAAACAAGTTTTGGGGAAAGAAGGAGTCTATCAAGTTTAGTTTGTATTCTCTCCATCCCACAATGAGTGATTCAGTTGATCATTTCAGAAAAATTAAAAAAAAAAGAATAAATTAAAGAGAGATAATGATATTTTTACTAAAGTACCCTTATCATGTAATGTGAATGATGAAAGTAATATTAATTAGAGGGTAAAATTGAAAAAGATGCATTAAAAATTAAAATGAGTCATTTATTTTGAGACACCCTTATATTTCAAATGGATAATTCATTGTGGAACGAAAAGAGCATGAATTTATTATCCAATTAGTTGTGTGCCCAAGTATAAATGTATCTAATATAACCAATGTCTTTGATATTACCATTTTCTATAGTATCATGAAAAGGTTAGAAATTTGATAACCAAAAGAGTTGCTACCTTGTTTCTCATTAGAATACTTAATCATGTTCAAATCACCACCACAAATGATCTAGTTATCCCGTTATTAATTTGATACAAATCATTTATAAGAGAAAAAGTAAGGTTCTTGTTAGAATGGTTGGGGTAATCATAAATTGATGTGAATCTATAGTTTTGAACATGATCAATATAGGTAAACTAGTTGCCAATGAAATTATCATCCAAATCACCAAACATTCAGATTGATATCATTGATCTATATAGGAATCAACCCCTCACTGCATTACCTCTACTAGAGGTGGAATAATCATGAACATAATTAAAGACGACTTAGCTTTAGACAAGAAAAGAAAATATTCTTCAAAGAAATTATAGACGACTTAGCAAAATTAATTAGGAATATAGTATGCAAAATTAAAGAAAACCTTCTTCAAAGAAATTAGAGACGACTTAGCTTTAGACAAGAAAAAAATAACTAGATGGTCGATCTGAATGAGCTTCTTCAAAGCTTTAACTATTTAAGGGTTGCCTAACCCTCGATTGTTCCAACTCATAATCCTTAGGGCTATCTGCTGGCCCTACTAGAGGTGTTTGTTATTTGGTTAGAGAGTGTGCTTGTAGTAGTTTGGACCTCATCTTCGATTCGTTTTCTTTTGATGTCATGAAGGTTTGTATTGATGAATGTTGGAATATTGTAAATCTGAACTTATGGTTACCATAGGTTGCTTGTTGTTGTGATTCGAAATAGAAACCTGTCCGAATTTCCTTAACATTGTTTATGGGATAGGATTATGAACGACATAGCTAGGTGAGTGAAAATAGTTGTTGCTGAAAGTTTTTTCTGACTGGTCTTTAATTTTCCAAGGCTTAAATACTAGATAGATCTTAGTTAAGAGAAGTATTGTGGATAGCTTTTGAGGATATATAATTTTTGTTTTCTTTAAAATCATCTTGGATGTCTTAATCATCCCAAACACAAAAATCCAGGCTTTCATTATCATTTTGAGATTTTGTATTTGAGATGTTATTGTTGTTGTTATCATTTAAACTTAGGTTGTTATGGTTTTCATTATTGTTGTCATCAATGTATTTTCTTTGTGTGGAAATTTGAAGGTCTAGAAGGTAGTGGGTGAAAGCAAATGAATTATGCCCTTTTCTTTTTTTTCCCGATGAACCTTGAGTTTCCATGAAGGGATGATAGAAAAAGGATTCTAATATGGGGTGTTGGAAGGGGGAGAAACAAAAATAGTAGAGCCAAGGTGAAACAACAAGATCAACGAGATACCCACAACAAAACCACACTCAAAGCAATAAGAACTACTAAAACAACAAAAAGAGTTGCAAGAAGAAGATGTAGAAAGTGCTCACTCAGGGAGCCAAAAGAGGAGGAAAAAGATTAGCGAATGATAGGCAAACAGACTGGGAGGAGAAGAGGAGGAAGAAGAACAAATTGGAAGCTTGATTATGCAAAAGTGAAAAGGAGATGGTGGATCATAGAGCGTTCTTGTTTTTATTTTTATTCGAGATTATTCAGTTTAATAGTTTAATTGGTTACTTTTTAGATTATTCCAAGTTAGGTTTTATCAAAATTGAGTCTGATCGGCTAAAAAAATTTAAAATCTAAGTCAACCTAAGTCTGACATATAGTCTATCATAGGTTTATTTTTAGGTCTGAGTCTAACATTTTCAAATGTCTGATTGACCTACTAACCTACTTAAAAGTCTATCTCATATAAACATTTATAAATAAGCAATTCAACTAATGTTAAATAGACTAAAAAATTAAAAGATCAATGAGACTAAATTTTTGTTTTCATGAATTTGTTCAAGTTTTCCTATTAACATAAATTTTGTGATACTATTTACTTAAGAGAACTTATGACAACAAGTTCATTATTCTTTTCAACTTATTTTTATAAGTTATTCGAAATAATTAAATTTTATTTTTGTATTTTAATTTAAAGTTTGTACTATAATATAATAATAAGATTATTAATCTTTATTTAAAATGATCAACCTAAGAGCAACTTTAACGCATAGTTGTTAAACCAAAATTTTGTATAGCTTAAGTTAGTAATAAAGAATTTGCATTATAGTAGAGATGACATGACATATGGGATGCTCTAAAACTAGTTTACGTGTTCTACACAAACAACGTACTCTAACTCATTATTTAACATAAATAATATATTTTTATTAACTATTTAATACCAAGTTTGAATTTCTTATAAACAATCACCATTGAAGTAAAAACTTCTTAATTCAATTTTGGATTGTTTAAATCTTTCATGTCAATTTGGACTCATGTAAAATAACTTAGTTCATCCAATAGATTTAAAATGTTTTTTTATAGACCGTGACATAACCTTTTTAATTAAATAGACTTATAACAATTTTACATACAAATGAGTTAAATAACAATTTTACATAAAATTCCAACTTTTAAAAATAACACATTCTAAATATTTTTAGAAATCAAAATTTTACACAATTATAAAAATAACGTAAGCGTTAAATTTAGACGAACAAGATCACAAATTCAAGTAAATTATAACAATACACTAGATTTTAAAACACTTTTTAAGTGTAAGGGGAGCAAAATTTTGTTGTTTCATATTTTACTACCCAAAATAATGTTGTCGACTTAAAAAAAATAAAAAATCAATTTCCTGTTGGGTTAGAAATCCACCAACGCATTGATTTAACCGGTTATTCGGTCTCATCACATAAATTTTCATGGGATCAATCATAGTTAGACTGGATTTTAAAGGATTGATTTGAGATGCTTTTTATCTAAGAAAGATTCACATGAAAAATTATTTTCAAAATTTAGTGCAGTGGTGGTCAATGAGAATTTTTTTCTCCACTAAATTTTTTTTCATATACATCATTTTCAATAAATATACCATATTGTCATAATTTTAAAAAAAAAAAAGACACGTAAATACTGCCGTCCATTGAAAAGGCTGCACATTTTAAAAATGTACTCTACCGTTTATTGAAAAGGAGGTAATGTTCAAATTTTTATACACTGTCGCCCATTAAAAAGACGACACCTTTTAATATTTTAACTCTTCAGTCTATTGAAAGGACAGCAACGTTAACAGGAGAAAAAAGTTGGGTCAATGGTCATCCACTAGAAGAGAATGAGTCGCGAAGGTTCTCCTCTAAATGTGGAAATATCTATCAATGAACCAATTATTGGTGTCCACCAATATACTGTACAATTCATGTCTGGTATACAATACTAGTTGTATCAATGATGAACAAGTTGTTGCCTGGAACATTCTAGAGACAGGCAAGTCCAAGTTCAGCTCACCCGCCATTGGACCCCACTGATGGCCTCAAACGCATGACCTCGTCTCCCCCTTCCCACTCACCTCGCCGCCGCTAGCTCTCACGAGTCACGACCTAGTCTATACTTTTCCACCCTATTATTCGGAAGCCTCCTTTCATGTGATAAAAGTATCTATCTTCATAAGAAAGAAACATTAAAAGCAAAATCTGAATTCAATTAAAAGAGTCTCCCCAATAAAAATAAACAATTCAATTAATTACAATAATTATACATCTCTCTTGCCAAGTGGCAACAAAACAGTAATCACACGTTAAAGATTCTGTATATTAACGGGACTAATATTCTGGCTTAATTAATCACTTACCTAAATTATCTTTCTCATCACGCGTTACGCTTTTACTTTCCAATCTTTTCTCACCCTTATATAATAACCCCCACTCACCTCTTCTTCTCATAACATAACAACAACTCAATTTTAAAATCTCTTCTTCTAAAGCAATAGCTTAATCTCTGGAAAGCGCTTATTTTCTCAAATCAATTCTACAGAGAAAAACCTTTCCATAATTCTATACAATGTCTCGCTCTTTCGCTAACGTTAAGGTTCTCTCAACTATCATCCTCGACGGTTTTTCCAACACTCTTACTAGGTACCGTATAACGTTTCTTATTATTATGTTTTTTTTTTTTGTTTCTTGTTCTTATATGATATAATTTTAATATATGGTTTTTTGATTAATTAAACAGACGTGGTTATGCTGCGGCAACAGAGAGTGCAACGAGGGGAGGAGTTGGGTCTATTGGAAACAAGATGGGACCCACAAAGTTAGGAGAAGAGAAAACGGTTTCTATTTATAAGGTTTCATGGGTTCCAGATCCTGTTACTGGTTACTATAAACCCGAGAACATTAAGGATACTGATGTCGCTGATTTAAGCGCTAAGCTGCTTCGGAAAAATCTCAAGAACTAATTTCAAGTTTTTAACTTATTCGACGGTGGATTTTATGAGCTTTAGGGATCGATTTTAGATGGCTTATTAGCTTCGAATTGATTATATTAATGGGAAGATCTTACTCGGTTCATTTAAATTGCCTATTGATGATATATTGGCAGTTGATACTTTCTTTTGTAGACAAGATGAATGATACTTTCTTTTATAATCTTTTCTTTCTAAAAGTATATAATTATTTTTTTTTATTGTCTTTTCCAACACAATTTTTGTATTATTAGATTTCTTTTGTTAGCAATATCTTTTAAAATTTAATCAAAAATTAGAAAATTGCATACAAAATAGGCTTTAAGACCACTTGTTGGGTCATAATATGAATAAAAAATTAATTAGAAGGAGATGGAGTCGAACTGATTCATTCAAAATAAGATTATAAACTTTTTGAAATAAATTTAAAGTTTAACGAAAACAAAATAAGAGGAAATTTAAAAACTCGGAAAAATAATTTCTAACTAAGATATTACAATGATATGTTGGGTTGCTTGATTCAAGCAATTTAAAGACTTGATATAGAAATGCTTTAATCATAATTGAATTTTAAGACAATTCAATATGTTGATGCAACATATACCTATGCTTATACAATAAAATACTATTAGAGAGATAGAGAAGAATTACATAACGATCGAATTTAGATGACATAAAAACGAAGCTTTCATGTAACAATTAGAATGCATAAAATTAAAGAGAGATAGAGACGAAAGAGTAAATCAAAATATATACTGGTTCGGTACTGTCATACCCTAAATTTGCTCATTTTTTTAAATCTCAGGATTGTGTGTTGCCATCCAAGAGGAGGGTTTTTGTTAGCTTCAAGCTCAAGCAAAGACATTGGTACAAGCCATCAAGTTGGCGTTATTATCATAAAGTTATCAAACAAGCCATCAAGTGGGCGTTATTATCATAAAGTTATCAAAGAACCATCAGATGGTTGTCAGGGGGTTCATGAGGTTTTGTCATTGGTGTGAGCATGAGGTAGAAGCTTGTTGAGTATCTCAGAGGATATGGTGGAATTGGAGTGGTCACTCAGTTCATCTAAGCAATGCCTAGACAAAAAGGGTGAAATTAGGGTTTCAATTTTAATCAGGATAAATTTGTTTTTGGGGGCAAGAATTGTTTCCGTGGTCTTCCATATGTCCTAAGGTGTTTGAGGATGGGCGATTGACCATCAATTTTAATTAGAAAGGCTTCAATTGATCAGTCAATTGAAAATTAGGAGATTTGAGGAAAAATTCAATTGTGCAGTGAAAAAGTCAACTCCTAATTTTTTGAGGTCAAGATCATGATCCTTGAGTTCAATATGACCAATGGATCGAATTTGATCAAGAAAAGTCAAGGGAATCATGAAAAATCAAGAATTGTTGAAAGTTGTCATTTTAAGGAAAATAGGGTTTTAGAACTTTCTATTTATGGAAAGTTTTATGTTTGGAACAACCATCTTCAAGGCCATTTTTCTTCATGATCAAGGTTTCCAATGAACTTGGATCAAACATCAAAGTTGTTCCTTGTATTTCAAGCTTTCTTTTGAGTACCAATTCATAATCATATGATACTTGGAGCTCAAGTTATGATCAATCAAAGTTGAGGTTTTCAATGATTTCAACATTGCCAAGATTGGACAAATTTTTGGACTCACTTTGCAAGCCAATTTTCATCAAGTTCTTGAAGTCAGATGGGAATTTGTCCCAAATGAGAGTTGTAGAGAATTCTACAAGCTTTCCAAAGAGTCCAAGAAGTCCTCAATATGATTTGTGAGGCTCAAGTTATGGACGTGCAAAGTTGAGGAAAAATAAGCCAAATCCATAACTTAGAAATTTTTCTAAGTTATTTATGGACAGCTTGCATGACATGGTTTTCAACATCCTTTTTCATGATCCTCCAATCCTCAAATCAAGATGACTTCAACATGAAAATTATTCCTTGTCATGCCCTCTTTACTTAGAGCTCAAGTTTAGGGCAAATTGATCTTTGTGCATCAAGATATCATTGCTCAAAGTTGATGTTTTGAACTTGTTTCAAGGAGTGAAACATGTGGCATTTGTGCTTGCTGATGTTTTTTATGATATTGATATGCTCACGTCCCATTTCCATGTGCATGGGATGCTGCACTGGGAGCCACCAAATATTTCCCAAAATGAACCAACACAAGCTTGTACCATTTTGCCCCATTTTTGAATTCTTAGCCAAAACAAGTAAAAGACAAACAACTGTTATTTCTCTGCTCCTTGCAGCCCAACTAGATCACTCTCTTCATCCACAAGAAACCTAGAATGAGACAAGGGAATGCAGCTAGCTGGTGTACCATCTCATGATCAACCCTTGATTCAAAAAAACTCATGAAGAATGCAAATCTGCCCCTTCATTTTTCACCTTGGTAAAGCTTGCCATTTTACCCTTTTTACTTCATATTTAAGTTAAATACCATTCACCACAAACCCTAGAGAGCTCCAGCCACTGCTGCATTGAAAAAACCAGAAAACTCTTGTTTTGTGAACCTTTCTCAAACCTTTCAAAACATAAAAAAATTGTCTTGTGCAAGTTGGATACTAGCTTCCTTTTCAATCACCCAATCACCATAAAAACCATCCATACAACCTCAAGATGATGATGAGGAGGTGTTCCAACCATTAAACCAGTCAAAAACACCTTAACTCAAAAAGTCAACTTCTCACACCATGAACATTGACTTTCCTGCATAAACCAACAGAATACACTGCCTAGACCAGTTCTAAACACTTTGACACTTTGAACACCTCCCATTTGTGTTATAATAACTGTCCAAGTCCTTAAATAACCACTAGAAATCCCTTTTCTCAAACTGTCCTCAAAAATCATTTTCTTGCTTCAAGAAGGAAAAACATCAAAAGCTTGCATCAAAGGGAGATACCTTGCTCAAAAGGATCCTCAACTAAAGCCTGCTAGCATAGTGAGGACTACAAGAGGTATGTAGTCCTAAACACATTTGTTGTTGCATCATGTATGTCCTTATTTAGCTTGTGGAATGGAATGAACATTATCATGTTGAAATAGTGTTCCTTGTTATTTTGAAATCTGATTTCTGCTAAGTTCATGATCATTACTGTCAAAATTTGTTGTGTTTGCTTTGGTTTGTATTAAAAAAGAACCTGTCATTAACATAAGCAAGTTTGAATGTTGAACATTGTCATGTTCCTGAACTTATAACCATGATACCAAAACTGTTGAGTTTGTCAACTCATGGTCACCGTCAAATTTGTTTCTCATACTACAATTTGGTTTGAGTTTATCTTGACAAGTTGGTGACTGTCTTAAAAACAACAATGTTGTACTTAGTGTTTGACAAGCCAGGCATTGTAATGGCCAAACTATCACTATCATTTGTGGAGTTTACAACTTTTATGTGGAGCTGCTGTTTAAGTGGATCTGTCCAGCTTTTGTGGTTTACATCATGGATTGTATCTAGAGCATTAGAGGGGTTGCTTCTAAAAGTTATGTTGATGTATCAGTCAACCTTTGAGGGCATGTTGAGGACCGTTGTTTGTAACCTTTGAGGGCATGTTGAGGACTGTTGTTTGTGTTTGCTATATTCTTGACCTGACACTGCTGAGTTCTGTTTTTCTAGTTTCTTTGTCTTGACTTGTAACCTAAAGTTTTAATTTGATATAATGATTTGGTAATTGTTTGAATTAGAAAAATATGGCCAATGACTGTCTTGAAGGCAATATTTAGAACTAGTGTTTACATTGTAATGTTAACTTTGTGTTTGTTTTTGTTTTGAACAAGACTGTATTGATTGATTCATGTTAGTAAGAGAAGTTATTAATCATGTCTGGGCATATCAAGTTGTAAGTACTGTCTTGATAAGTTTGAGGGTTTTGGCTGTTTGGTTCACTCATCCCACTGCATGAGGGGTGTGTGTTAAAGGCCTCAGGATTGCTGAACATGTTTAGCATGTTTGGAATGGGGTTAGAGAGTTAAACCCTATCATGTAGGCTTTAATTAAACTTTAATAATTTTGGACTGTCTTGCACTTTGCAATGACAAAGCTTATCTTTCCTGAAACCATTTGCTTTTGATCTGAGCTTTAATTTTTCTTTTCTTAAATCATTGTTGTGATTGCATCCTTGTCAAGACACCATGATTGGAATTCATCAATGGATGAAATACCAAGGATTGGTTATTTGTTTTTCGTGTTGGAGTCAATTGACCAACTTGTACACAATTCACTGCTTGCATTATGATGCACTTATGTTCACTATCTGCCACTAGCTGGAGAGTTTGTCAACCTGGTTTCCTCATTGGAACTTCCTTTGGATTTTCAAAATTCATGGTTTGAGCTCATTGCATACAGGTTGAGTTTTGGTCTGAAAGTCTGCATGCTAATTGTCAAATTGTTGTAAATATTTTGGTGTATTTATTCTGTCAGCATGCTTGATGCTGTTTTAACAGCCATGTTGCTGTTCCTATTAAGGAGTTGAATTGGTTCCATCATAATTCATCATAGGTAATGCATTTGGAATTTGTGTGTATTTGAAACATAACTTATGCTCAATTGTTTTGATCATTTGGTGTTGGTCATAGCCAATACATGCTTTTCATGGCAACTCGCATACCAACTTTTTTGCTTTGATGCTTTTAAAACAAACTTTTTTGAGGGAACTCTTCCCTTTTCATGTTTGGAACTTGCTCAGCTCATTGCCCATCCTTGATTGCATCTGTTTCAACTCTGAAGTTTCAAAATGCATCTCAAAACTCCATTATGCATCTTCCATCGAATTTTTGTGTGTGTGCAGTATTTGGAAAAATGGTCAGCACCATTGTGATACTTGTAAAATTTCAAGTAAGTTTGACTAAAATTTCATCAAAATTGATTAAGTTTTGGTTAAGTTTGGATCAACACGTATTTTCATGATTTTGCTTTGACTTGCCTTGCCTTGCTCAGAAGAATGCACTTATTTTGGCATATATTCAAATGGGGTGGT